AGTGGCGTCGCGGTGCTGGGGATACGGGAGTCCAAAGAGAAAGCTTCCTCCTGTACCTTGTGCCTGATACTTTGTTTTGAAAGCCTGGGAGGTAGGGGAGCAAATCCAGAAGAAATCACGTCATCAGCAGAAACTAAACTTGAGCTGTTTTATCCTGGCACCAGCATCTTGTCTAAATGACACTTAAAGACCAGAGAATCGTCACTGGGTAAATACAGCTGGGGCAGGAGTGCCCCAGGGCAGGGCACTGAACACATGAGCGCTGTCTCTTGTCCTGTCTTCTCGTAGATCATAAGGACAGGTGTCTTCTCAGTGCACCCCATTTCCGTGGAGTTAAAAATTCAGGCTTTCCACTGAGTTCAGGTTTTCCACTCAGGAACTGTCTTTTAAAGAGAAAGGGTCAAACGTGCAGGCCAGCAGGACATTGCACACCGGGGTGGCTGCAGTCACCACTGCTCCCATCGCGGACAGCTTGAGCCTGAAGAGCTTTGGCACTGGAGGGAGATCTCCACCTGAGGCTGGAGGAGAGCAGGAGGGCTGGGCTGGGAAGTCCCAGGTCAGGGAGTGAGTGTGGCTGGGAGATGGAGGAACTGGAGGAGGTGCCTGTGGAAGAAGAGACAAGCAGGATGGAGCTCAGAGGAGGGTGGGACTGGAAACGTATGGTGGGGCAGAACGGGAAGCAGAGGGGACAGGAGCGGGTTTGTGGAGCCTGGCTGTGACGCAGCACAGTCAGGGAGGGCTGGGCTGGCCCGTGGTGAGACCAAGGGGGTCAAAATGGCCATGAGAAAGGAAGGCGCACAGAGCTGCTGGGCCATGGAGAAAGTCTCGTCAGGCCCGTAGGAGCCGCAGGGTAAGCATTTATGTGTGAAGAGGTGCTATCCAGTGGGCAGAGTTCTGGGAGAGGGAGGACTGCAGTGGACAGCAGTGCTTCTCACCCCCTCAGTCTGCAGTGCCTGGTACCCACTGTCTAACATGTGATGATGAGGAGCTGGCTACCTGGAGCAGGCACGCTTCTTCAGGCTGCCAGCTGCTCTGCTGTCCCACGTGGGGATAGGGAGGGGTAGGACGCTGGGAGGGTATCCTGGGGTTTTGTAATGCTGTGTCTTGTTCCTCGGCTAGGAGAGCCCCCCTTTCTGATGAGGAGTCAAAAACGAGCAGCTCCCAGCACTTGGGGTCTCAAGAGTTTTGCGTCAGCAGCAGCCTTTCCAAGGTGAGCTCCTTGCGTGCGTGTCTGGGTCCAAGAAGGCCTTTCCTTGACAGAACAGGCCAAGCAAGAGCATCGACCCTAATGAGTCCCGCGGGCTCCTACTCGAGAGGTGCAGTAAGGGCAAAGTAACGCTCTAGTTCGGCAAGAGCTGTTTGCCAGTTCTGCCTCAGTGTCCTGGGGGGGGGATAGAGAGAAGGTCCTGCCTGCTTTGCTAGGAGCCACTTGCACAGCTCTCAGGAACACCGTCTCCCTTCTTGTTGCAGGTGGAGCTCACGGCAGTCAGCGGTGGTGGCAGCAGTGCCCAGGGGCTGGATGCTGATGGCAAGGTGGAGGAAAAGCTTGGGCCCAAGCTGGAGGAGCAGCCACCTGATCCCAACCCAAATCCGGAGTGTACGGGAAAGACTGTGAAAGATGATGCCCTGGGCCCTCTGGCAAGCCAAGGGGATGGCAGAGGGCAGGAGTCTGCAATCCCCAGAGCTGCCGAACAGGAGAGCAGTGGTGCTGATGCTGCCTGGACACCTGCAGATCCTCACAGCGACAAGCAGGCTGATGCTCCTCCAGCCTGCTCCGTGGCTCCAGAGGGTGAGCCTGCTGGGAAGGAGAAAACCACCCCAAGCGCTGGAGCACAAGGGCCAGGCATGCTGGCAGAAGGGACGTTGTCTGTGGTTGTCTCCAGCTGCAACACCTCTGCCTCCAATCCCGCTACTTTTACTTTGAACAGAGTGTGCTTTCCCACATCTCAGGCCCCTGCTATGCAAAAAATGCCCGTGTCCTTTCAGGCTGGGGCAGTTCTGAGCCCGAGCCAGTCGCTGGTGTACATCCCACCACCCAGCTGCGGGCAGCCGCTCAGCGTGGCTACACTTCCAGCCACCTTGGGGGTCTCCTCCACGCTCACCCTCCCCGTCCTGCCTTCCTACCTACACGAGCGTTGCCTGCCGGGCATTATCGCTTCTCCAGAGTTGCGCTCCTACCCCTACACCTTCTCCGTCACCAGACCCTTGGCTTCAGACGCCAAAGTGGTGTCTGTGGAGGTGAATCAGCTTAGCTGCCCTTCGCCCTCGGGTGGCAGTGGTGCCCAGGCTGCTGCCGAGGGTGCTCCCCCGTCCACCGCTGGCCCTTCCCTCTCATCCAGCCAGCCTCCGCTGGCAGCATCGTGTGGGAGCGCTGCTCCCTCTTCCGGCACCGGTGCGCACGCCAGAGCCCCGGCAGCTCCTGAGCCGCACGCACCGGGGGCTGCCACCTCACTCTCTCCTCTGAAGTCCCCTCCACAGCTAGAGCGTGAGATGGTCTCCTCTCCAGAGTGCAGCGAGATGCCTCTCGATCTCTCCTCCAAGTCCAATCGTCAGAAACTGCCTCCACCCAGTCAACGCAAAACACCTCCTATGCCCATCCTCACACCCGTGCACACCAGCGGCAAAGCACTTCTCACCACAGTCCTGTCCAAGTCCCAGCGCGCGGCCCAGACTACGGGCAGCAGTGTCACCTCATGTCTCGGCACCACCCCTCCCTTAGTCATCTTCCCCGAGTTCCTGCGCAATGGCGAGCAGGGCTCCTGGGTGAAGAACACCACGCTCATCAGCACCATTCCAGGCACCTACGTCGGCGTCGCCAACCCGGTGCCTGCCTCACTGCTGCTCAGCAAGGACCCCGGTGTGAGCTTCAGCAGGGACCCGCGCCACCTTCCCAAGCAGGAGCCTATTTCTATCATCGATCAGGGAGAGCCTCGCAGTGTTGGGGTTCCCTGTGGGAAGAAAGCCAATCAGGTCAGCACAGAAGGACAGCAGGACCCTGCCAGGAGACTTCTTCATAGTAGAGTTGCTCCAGGAGCTCCTTTGTGTCAGTCCAAGGACATCTCCACCTGGAATCCCGGCCAGGGAAGTGTGTACCCGCGATGCCCTGTGAATGGAAAACCTTCCAATCCTCAGCTTCTGCCTCTTGGCTGGTCTCCTTATCATCAAACCCCCCTGCTTTCAATTGGCATCTCCACAGCCGGGCAGCTGCCCCCAAACCAGAATAGCTCCTGCAAGCCAGCTGGTGCAGGTGAGCTCCCGACATTCTCGAGCGTGCAGCCCACAGAGTCCAGCACAGCTGCCCAGAGCCTGCCGGAGGGGCTGCCCAGGCTCCCGCCTCAGGAACGGGAAGCTGCAGCCAAGAGCAAGAGCTGCCGGGCCTTGCCCAAGCTCTACGAAGAGCCGGCCAATCCAGTCCCGTTGGATGCAGGTCCATCTCTTCAGACCAGTGCTTTGGATGTGAAAGGGGGGAAGGGGAAGCTGGACAACCCTCAGAAGAGTCAAGAGTGTGATCAACCAGAGGCTGACTCCAGTAAGGAGGGCAATGTACAGACTGAGGCTCCCCAGGGGAGCTGTAGCCTCAAACAGTTGGATGCAAAGCCTAAAAACCAAGTGTTAGCGGCATATTTGTCGCATGATGTGCCCGCAGCTGGGCAGCAGAGCCTGCGAATGATTTCAGATGTGCCCAGTGTGCCCACGGAGAGTCAACACAAGGAGCTGGGCTGCGAAGGCTCCCAGGAGCCACCAGCTGCAGAGCCCCTCCAGTGCGTGCGTCAGGTGGATCTGTGCAGGGTCAAGAAGGAGCGAGTGGAGTGTGACATGTCATTTACTTCTGTGACTTGCCTGCGAGCTGGGACTGCTCCCCAGGCCTTTGCCGAGGTCAAGCTCAAAGGAGCAGGCCAAATCAAGCAAGAGGGCAGTGTGCGCTGCAAGTCCAAGCGGCAGCATGATGGGGACATCAGGCAGGCCCACAAGAGACTGAAGTGCCAAGCCCAAGATGGAGAGGAGTCCCCAAGCAAATCGGGGAGCCGGAGTGTGCATGGCCGGAAGGTGGGTGGGACGGGCTGGGACTATTGGGTTATGGTAACGGGGTGAGGTTGGGGGCGAGGAGGGAGCTGTCACAGGAGAGGGCAGCTGAGTGCACAGGGCTTTCCGCCCATGCTCTTTTGCATTACCTGGCAATGGATTAATGTACGCATGTCTACAGGTTATCTAGAGCAAAAATGGATCTGGGGTGTCAAAAATGCTGCAGGGCACCAACATGATGAGTGGACGACAGCGTTTTGTCCCTTGTCCTTTACTTCTCCAGCTCAGTCAGTTGGCAGCTCAAACTTCAGTCTGTGTTCTCCATTCACAGTGGCGAAAACACCATGACAATCCGCATGAACTCAGCAAGCGAGAAGGCCGGACCGGCCTGGGACCAGTGAAGGATCACAACAGCCTCAGGGTAAAACGTAAGCGCAGGAGGCCAGCGAAGACGGAGTTCCCATCTCCGGCGCACCGTGGCGACAACCACGAGGAAGGTACTCTTGTGAATGGCAATGTGTTCTTGCGGGGTCAGGCTGCAGCGGTTCTCGTCACCCTGATGCCTGTGGGGCCAAAGTGCCGCTCCCCTGAAGCTGAATGGCCTCTGGAGCTAGTGGCTTCCCGTAGCGGGTTGGGATCTGAAACAGAGCTGCAGCATGATGCTGGACTGCCCTTCCCAGGCCAGCAGATGTGTGTGCACAGATCTGTGGCATGTTTTCTCAAGGCTCAGTTTTCCCCACAGGTTACCTTGAGAAGAAGCCCAAGAACAACTTTCGGGATTTCATTCCGGTGGTGCTGAGCAGCCGGACGCGCAGTCAGTCGGGTGAGTTGGTGCCAAGGGACCCAGGTGGGATTCCTGGGTGGACTATGAGTGTTTCCCTGTTTAGTTGGCCTTGTGCCTGTCTTCCGTCCTGCCTTGCAGGGTTTTTCTCGTAGATACTCTTGGCTTTTTTGTCAGCTAGAAATCCTGCTTTCTTGCAGGAAGCATCGCTGGCTCTTCTGCTAGTGTGACGGGAGAGTGTGATGTGACTGGTCAGGAGATTGTACCATTGCTGGAGGAGGATCAGGAAGAAGAGGAGGAGGAAGAGGAGGAGGAGACATCCTTGAAACGTCGCAAGCTGCGAAAATCCCACAGGACATCACGCTATCACAGTCGCAGGGCCAGGGACAGGTCTCTGTCCGAAAGGAGCAGCTGTTACACGAGGAGGACCCGGGAGCTGCCCTGGAGAGCGGAATCACCCAGGCAGCTGTGGGAGCCCAATGAGGAGGAGGAAGATGACAGCCACATCAAAAGGAAGAAAAGGAGACGACAGAAAAGTCGGAAATACCAGACAGGGGAATATTTGACGGAGCGAGAGGAGGAGCGAGGGGGCTACCCCCACCGGAGGCGAAAATCCAAAGCAGGTACAATCTGGGAAGGGGTTTCTCGTACCAGCCTGGGGATCAACATGGGGTTTTTTTTGTTTTGTTGCTTTTTTTGTTGTGTGTGAAATTTTTGGAGAGTTTTTCTTTTTTGTTTTTTTTTTGTAATGATGAAAGTCCGTCATCATTAATGGCTTGATGTCCACAGCATGGGCCACTTCAGTTGGTCAGCTCTTCTTTCAAAAATATTTACAGTAAATTTCAGAGTAGGAAACAGCAGCTTATGTAGCTAATTAGATACTGATCTTACCCTCAGATTAAGACAGAGGGCGTGGGAAAATGAGAATCGGACGAGGTAGCACAGTGAAATATTTCTGGACAAGCATGGGCCCCTGGGAGTAGTGTTCAGCATTCCTGGCTAAAGTAGGGGGACATGGAGCCATCACAATTCAACTTTGTGAATTCTTTATGCTTTGTCTTGCTTTATTAAGGCAACTTGCAAGCTTGCACCAGGGAGCACAAGGGCGAGAGGATTAACAAAGCTAGAGTGTCTGCAAGCGACAGAGAAATCCCCCTCTGTGGTTCATATTTGCAACTTTGCTAGGAGGAGAATGCTGTGCCACCTGCCTGTGTCCTGCTCACTGCTCTACCTCTGCTCTTGTGTTTTCTCCCATAACTGCCCAGACCACGTGGTCAAAACTAAATCTGTGGTTGACGTTTCCCTGAGGTTTAGCATTCTCTGCGGTCCCTTCTCTCTGCCTGTGCAGGGGCAGTTTGAGGCTGTTGGAAGTAAGGCTGGGATTCATCCGGCAGTGCACTGATGTCTCAGTGTGTGTGCTGACAGCTGGCTGGTAGCTCATAGCTGTGTCCGAGTGTCCCACAGGTAACTTCTGTCAGGGTTGCAGAAGAGCATGTCTGAGCCACAGTGTTGGGGGAAGCACTTCTGCCAGCCCTCTATAAGCTCGGGCCTTTCTCTTGGAGGTGATGTAGTGGATATGTACCTGTTGCCTTCTGCCACATTGGTGCTCAGATCGACAGTCCTCAGGAGAGGATGAGATGCTGCTGAGGCCCTGTGAGAAGTAGTAGGGATGGCTGCTATCCTCCCACCAGCTGATCTCCCAAGCTACATTTCTGCTCTGGCACAGTTTTACGCTATTGCTGCAGTGTCTGGGTGCCTCTGTGAGACCAGGAGTAAAGTTTCTGATGGGCTTCCTGGCATCTTCGCAGTTCAAGGGGCGCTCAGACTGTCTCCCGCTGACACCTGTTGCAAACAGAGCCTGAGAAGGAGGTTTGACTGCAGCAGCATTCGGGAGGGTTTTCTCCGGGAGCTTTACTATACATCTTAAGGGTGTCTGTCTTCTGTCCAGAAGGCACTTTCCCTCAGGGACTGCTTGCTCGGCCCTCAGATTCGTGAACTTCTGTATTTTGGATTCAGAAGTTGTGGCCTAGAACCGTTGCCTGTCTCCTCCACAGCCCACGGTGCTGTTCATTGCAGGGAAGGTGTTCCCTCACATGGACATGCGTCCTGCCAAGTGAGGTGTATTTAGCACTACAATGATGGGCTGCTTTAAAAGCTTTGCTCTAAAACACAGAGCCCCTGCACGTTGGCAGAAGGAATGGGATATCAGGGAAGGAGCATCTCAAGTCCCTGCATACTGCCCTGTGTTAGTTGTGAAAGTGTCACAATGCTGTAAAAAAGACAAGAACTGTGTTACAGACAGCCCAGCAGAAATCTCTGTCCAGTGACTGCTTCCAAAACAGCAAGCAGGCTAGTGGTTGCCATGTGCTGCCTTCTTGATAAGTATCATCACTAAAACTTTGCTTAATTACAGCCTGAGTGTTGTGCATGAGCTTAAAAACAAATACTATGTTCTGTGTGGTGGCTCGTCAGAGATGCTGCCCCAGACCATGTCTCATGGGTGCGTTCCACTTTGTTCAGAGCAAGGAGATGTCTCCTGTTCCTTGCCTAAGTACATCCAGCATGCTGCATTGTATCAGGGTCTGCCTAGCCCGCAGTTTTCTCCTGACTGTGGCAAGCGCAGAGGCTATTCAGGGCCAGCACTCGAGCACAGCCGCTTCCCAGACTTCAGCCGCCTGGGCTTCCACAGCATCCAGAACAACTAAACTAGGGCTGTGTGTACCCAGGTCTTCTACAGCTCGTTTATGGGTCTGTTGTCCATGATTTGCCTAAATCTTTTCTGGTCCTGCTGATAACGTCTGCCTCTACCACCTCTGGTGGCAGTGAAGCCCTGAAGTTCCCTCCTTTCTTCTGTCTGTTTTTAAACTGATCTCTTACTCATTTCATCGAGTGCCCATAAGTCTTGTGCTGCAGCATCGGCTGAACAAGATTCCTCCACTCAGCTGATCCACCCTTTTATGATTTTTGCAAATTTTGGTCACGTCCTTCTCCACCTTCTCCTCTCCAGACTGAGCAGTCCCAGCCTCTCTTACAGGGCAGCTTCTGCACGCCTCAGTTGTTTTGGTTGCCTTTCTCCACTTCCACTCCATTCTTCCTGAGACGTGGAGACCAGAACAGCACAACAGTACTTGAGGCATGCTTGCTTCGAGATTTTGTTTGTGGTTCTACCTTGGTATCTTGGCCAAATCCATATTTCTGTGCAAGATCTGTGGCCCATGCTTCCTAGCAATAGCAAGACATAAGTGGAAGTTATGTGTGGTGCTTGACGCGGAGAATCTAGAATCTCAGCGTAATGTGGAAGCTGAAGATGCTGCTTCTGGAGATCTAAAAAACCTGCCTTGGTACTGGAAGCAGCAGTATCCCTAACAGATGTGAAGTTTTGATCCCTTGAACTAACCCACGGGGGCATCTCCTAGCTCTTTACCTAGAAATGAAGCAAAGTCTTTGTTCCCAAACAAAGTGCCCAAAGCTGTGGAGAGAGCCAGGCTTGAGAGACTCAGACTCTGCAAAGCTGTGGACAGATGCCTCCTCTGTCCTTTGGTCTGCACAGGGCTCTTCCTTTGTAACCTATTTTATTCCAGCACTGATCATCTGTGCAGAGGGAGGTGTACGGCATGATAAAAGTCCAGGTGGTTATTTGTTCACAGGGCTTTACTTTCTCATTCCATACTGTTTTTTCCTGTTGCTGTCATGCCCTTGCTATGGGATGTTGCCATTGCAGGGAAGCAGAGTGCCTGTCCTTGTGCGATGTGCAGGGTTCCGTAATGAGCAACCCTGCAGCTCTGTATAATGCAAGGAAGAAAAGACTGGATTTCCCTTGAAGCACCCTGGTACTTCCTACCTGCATGCATAGTAATTGAAACTTTAATGTGCTACTTAACTTAAGGGGAAGATGTGAGAGGGCAAGGCAGGGTCTTGTTTTTTAGGCAGCAAAACAATGACTGTTCACAGGCAGCTTAAAGGAGATACCTCCTGCATTTTCTGTCTCTCTAAGGGGTATCCCACGTGAGTCCTGCTCAGTCTTACAGGTAGGGGAGCGCATGTGTGGCAGCATGCAATTACCAAACTGCTGGGAAGCGTGCTGACAAGCTGGACTGTTTCATACTGGGTTCCCTGTCAGGCCTAAGGAAAAGCCTTAGTCAGTTGTGTGCAAGCCCCAGCTCTCAGTGGGCTTGGCCTTTTCAGACCAGGATGGCTGTCTGTCGTTCGACGTCTTGTGTCATAGAATCATAGAATCATTTTGGTTGGAAAAGACCTTTAAGATCATCAAGTCCAACCGTTAACCTAGCACTGCCAAGTCCACTAAACCATGTCCCTGAGCACCACATCTACATGTCTTTTAAATACCTCCAGGGATGGTGACTCAACCCCTTCCCTGGGCAGCCTGTCCCAGTGCTTGACAACCCTTTTGGTGAAGAAATTTTTCCTAATGTCCAATCTAAACCTCCCCTGGCGCAACTTGAAGCTGTTTCCTCTTGTGCTATCGCTTGTTACCAGGGAGAAGAGACCAACTCCCACCTCGTTACAACCTCCTTTCAGGTAGTTGTAGAGCGCGATAAGGTCTTCCCTCAGCCTCCTTGTCCCCAGACTAAACAACCCCAGTTCCCTCAGCCTCTCCTCATCAGACTTGTGCTCCAGACCCTTCACCAGCTTCGTTGCCCTTCTTTGGACACACTCCAGCCCTTCAATGTCTTTCTTGTCGTGAGGGACCCAAAACTGAACACAGGATTCGAGTGCGTATATTCACCAGTGCCGAGTACAGGGGGACGATC